TAACCTATTAACTAATTAAGCTCTACAAGAGACTATGCTCTATTTAGGTGAAGTAACTTAAGTTATTTTTTAAATTTTAATATGTTTGACTCTTTTAAATCATTTTGAGTCTTTTTAATGTTGACTTGTGGTAAAATAAAATTATTTTTATTTCTTGTGTCATGATTATGGGTTTCTGTAAATTGTATCTATTAATATATAATCAAAATAACTTGGCATTAAATTCAATTTGATTTTGTGAATAAAGACTAATGTCTGATACACCGAATGTTCTTTGATATCTAACCAGTTTAATCTGTGTAACATTTCCTTCATGTTAATGCGTTTATTACATTTAAGTTTTAAGTCTCATTGCTCTGTTTTGTAATTTCTGGAGCATCTGCATGTTACTATTATTACTACCGAACCAGCAAAATAAAAATGCGGTAAAATAATACTATTGTACACTGTGCGCATTGCCCATAGTGATAAGTATTATTAATGTTTAGTTATAACTTGTTTGTGGACACCCAGTCATTAATATTTTCTATTTTTGTGTTTATCAATTTTTGTAGTTCTTTTTTATTTTTGCTCGAGTAGTATACGAATGTATCATCTGCAAACATATGTAATTTGCATAAACCCGTTGTTTCCACTATATCATTTATATATATATATACATATATATATATAATGAACAGTAACGGACCAAGTATACTACCCTGTGGCACGCCGTATTCAATAATTCTGTTTTTCCTTAAGATATCACCACATTTCACTCTTTGCTGCCTACTGCTCAAATAACTTTTAAACCATTCCAAAGCTGTTGCCTCTATTCCATATCTTTACAATTTCTTTATCAGTATAACTCTGTCAATTGTTTCAAACGCTCTCTTGAGATCTGGGTAGATAATAATTTTATTCAACTTTTCGTCACATTTCTTTTGCCAGTCATTCAATATATGTACATTGAAATGTACTATAGTTTACAACTGTATCTACTCCTGAATTCGGACTAATACTGAGAAAGAATGTTACCTTCTTCTACCTAGTGTAATACTTGCTTATATACTATTTTCTCCAAAATTTTGGTAAGTGCTGTAAGCATATTCACAGGTCTAAATTCTTCTACTTTTTTTGTCTTACTTATTTTACGTATGGGTATAATTGTAGAAATTTTAAAAATTTCCGGCACTATTCCTGTCTCCAATGAACAATTTATAATATGTATATAACATGATCCCAATTTCATCAAAAGTGGTTTTAATTGTTTCAATCGTTTTGATTTGGCAACGAAAATACTATTTCTTTTAGTTACTCTATTTCAATTAATTTAAAGCTTGTTGTTTAGCTTTTGTGATGCAATTAGAATTTTCAACTATATCAAACTTATCTGTCCTCTTTGGAATATTTCATGTTATTTCTTGTGTACTGTCTATGTAATAACTATTAAACTTCTCTGGTTTTGGCTTTCATCTTTTATTGCATTACCATTTACGAGGGTGGATTGATAAGTTTCCGGCCTGACCAAGAAAAACAAGGTTTTTAAAATTTTTTTTTTTTTATTTCTCAACATAATCTCCTCCAAGGCTGATACATTTCTCATAGCGGTGTTCCAGTCTATTAATGCCATCTCTATAGACTGATTCGTCAAGCTCCTCAAAATAACCATTTACAGCTTCGATTACTTCTTCATTGTCCGCAAATCTCT